ACGATACCAAAAATACTTAGCTAAAAAGTTATTAGATATAGAAAAAATTAAAATTTTAAATGAACAAATAATCAAATTACAAAATGAAATAAAAGTTATTATTCAATTTTATAAGCTGTATGATGATTACAGTTTTCATAGTCTGAGGGAACGTTATTCTCATTACAGCGATACCTCTAATTTATTACGTAATAATCTAAAACCATTATCAGAATTATTTAATCTTGATCTAAATTTTGATTGTATATATTAATGTTTTAAAAAAATGATTATATTATTATTTGAATTATACTTTTAAAAATAATGTTTTTAATAATCTACATAATAAACTATATATATACATTTAAAAAGAAAAAAGTGTTTTTTATTTATTTTTTATTTTTAGTTTAATTATGAAAAGATCAGTAATCACAAAATACCAACGTATGAATACGAATGGAAGCGGACTGATCGAAATCGAAAGGTTTAAAAAATGTTCAAAAACGTTAATTATAAAGAAAAGTCAAAAATATGTGGATTATAAATTATTTTTTAGTTATATTTTAGATAAGCTTATTTTAAAGTTAAAACAGTCATCACAGAAAACAGCAATCAAATTCAATTTACATGTTGATGCTGTTTATGAACGTCCGGTAACCCATGATATTCAAGATATAGCTTTTAAATCATCAAATATTTTAGCATGCAATTCATCTGATTTTACAAGTTTACTAAATAGTATGTTCAATAAAATATTAACTGAGGAATCAGAATTTATTGCAAAAGGTTCAGGTTGGTCTCTTGTATCAATAGATGGGTTACAGTTAAGAATTAATTTAGTAAACCCTCTAAAAGGGAGTTCATATATTGATTTACCGTTATTTCTAAAAGAAAAAAAAAGCGATTGTTAATGTTAAAAATAAGGATAATTACTGTTTCAAATATTCTATATTAAGTAAATATGATAAGCGTTCAAATAAATCTCGTTTTAACCAAATATATTTTAATTTTTTAGAAAAAAAGAGTGGATTAAATTTTAAATGTATTGATTTTCCGACACCGATAAAACAGATAAAAATATTTGAACGTTTAAATAATGTTTCGGTAAATGTTTATAGTTTAAATAATAAAAATTTTATTTTTCCATTATACGTTGCTGATTCGGAAAATAATAATCATTTTGATTTATTTTTATTTAGTTATGGTAAAACATCACATTATAGTTATATTATCAATTTTTCAAGATTTATTAGGAGCCAGAAAACTAAAAATTGTTCTAAGTTAATAATTTGTAAGAGATGTTTTACAACTTTCAGTAATAAAAAATGTAAAAGCAAACTTTGGGGTCAATCAGGATTAATTAGTCATAAAAAAATGTGTAACAAAAATAAATTAGGAAGACCTATAATGTTTGAAGAAGGAGTAGATGACGAATTTATATATTTTAAAAGTTATAAAAAAACCTGTAGAATTCCGATTGTTATTTATGCCGATTTTGAATGTATTTTAAGCCCTAAAAATGATGAAAAATTGAAGGATTCTAAAACTCACATCACTCATTTACATACAATTATGAGCTATGGATTTTAAGTAAAAGTTGACTATAATAGCATATCGGAAGAACTAATTCACCAATTCGAAATTCCAACAAATGTAGTAATATATAGAGGTAAAGATGCTGCAAATAAGTTTATGAAAAATATGATTGAGATTGGTGAAAAGATTAATAATATTTATCAAATTAATATACCAATGATTAAATTAACCGAAAAAGAAGAAAAAGAATTTCAAAGAACAAAAGTTTGCGAAAAATGTTCACTATCTTTTAAAAAAAATAATTTAATCAAAGTTCGCGACCACTGTCATTTAACTGGTAAATATAGACAATGTCTTTGCATAAAATGTAATTTTGAAATAACTACCCCTTCTTTCGTTCCGATTTTGTTTCATAACTTAACATATGATAGTCATTTTATAATTCGAGAACTTGGTTGTGATGATAATGACATTCATGTTATTCCAAATTCATCGGTAAAATATATTTCATTTAGCAAAGAAATCGCCTCAAGATTTAATATAAAGTTTGTTGATTCATTTCGTTTTATGGCCTCCTAATTAAGTGAACTTGCGGATAATTTGAATGAAGATAAATCGAGATTTAGAGAAACTATAAAGATATTTTCTAATAAAAAATTAAATTTAGTAACACGAAAAGGTGTTTTCCCTTATGAATACATCGATAGTTGGAGTAAACTAAATGAAACCTGTTTACCTCCAAAAAAATCTATTTTATAACTCTTTAAAAGATGAGGAAATCAGTGATGAAGATTATTCTCATACCCAAAAATATGGAAGATATTCGATTTAAAAACTTTGGGTGAATATAGCGATCTTTACTTAAAAACTGATGTTACTATACTAACAGATGTGTTCGAAAATTTTAGAGATTTATGTTTGTCTACTCTTAACATTGACGTTACTAAAATTCCTGATAATTCGAAAATTGGATATATATTAGAAGTTGATATTGATTACCCTGAATATTTACATAAAAAGCATAATGATTTTCCATTTTTACCTATAAACGAATGTCCTCCTAATTCAAAAGTTAAAAAATTGATTACTTACTACGTTATCATCAAAAAAAAATTATATTGTACATTATTAAAATTTGAAACAAGCAATTGTTAATGGACTTAAGTTGATAAAAATTCATCGAGCTATAAGATTTTCACAAAGTAAATGGATGGCACCATACATTGAACTTTGTACGAAAATGAGAGTAATAGCTAAAAACAAATTTGAAAAAAACTTTTGAAAATTATTAATTAATAGCGTTTTTGTAAATGTATGGAAAATGTTTGAGCTAGAACTTCTTTAAAATTGGTTTCATCAGAAATAAAAGCAAATAAATTAATGATGAAAACTAATTTTAAAGATAGAACTATATACTTTAAAAATCTAATGGCTATTCATCAGCATAAGGAAATTATTAAATTTGATAAACCGATTTATGTAGGATTCGCAATCTTAGACGTTTTGAAAACATTTATGTATGATTTTCATTATAATGTAATGAAAAAAAGATATGGTAACAAAATTAATTCTTTATACTCAGATACAGATTCTATGGTATATGAAATTCAAACACACAACTTTTTCAATGACCAGTGCCGTAGCTAGAACTAGATGGGCCCCGGTGCAAATTTAATCTGTGGGCCCTTTGTATAGGCGCACATTGGGTATGAATTTAGGGGGTGCTGGAATAATTGATGGTACACAAATCTGTGGTCCCCTTAATAATATAATAAACTGCATGCAATAATTTTAAATTTTTACTTATTAATATTCTTACTTTTTAATTATAATACAATATACAAATATAATAAATTAAAACTTTAATTAATTATACTTACATAGGTACTTGTATAGACAAATTTATAACTAATAATAAAGTTGAAATTGTATAAATGTTAATATAGTTGCTATTCTTTATTTATTTAAATTATTAAGCAACTATACTGTATATAATGTATTATGTATTCAAAATATTTAAAAATAATTATATTATTATTATAAGGGAACTGGGAGTGCTAATTTGAAGCCTGAGGGTGGCAGGGTGCTATTGTGCTAAGCACCCCCTATGTGTGCTTATGGCCCATTATTTTCCATTAATACCTATTTAATTTAAACAATTATAAAAAAACAATACAAATCAGCCATCAGTATGCTATCTTTATTATTGATTTTAACACAAAAAATTTTTTTTTCTTGCTTTAGCATTAGCGAAATTATCAATTATTTTTTCTATATCTAGTTCATCAGTTCTACTTCTTTCTATATTTAGAATAGCAATATTACTAAGTCTATTTTGAGACATTGAGTTTCTCAAATAGTTTTTAATGAGTTTCAATTTTGAAAATGACCTCTCAGCCGAGGCCACAGTTACTGGGATTGTAAGAAATATTAAACATGCAGTTAAAACATCTGGAAAACTACAAGCCATATCATTTTGAATAATGAAGTTTATTAAGTCTCTGATATCAGATTGTTCTGGACCAATTAGTGTTGTAATTGATAAAACTTGTCTGGTAAAGTCTGAATTGATGTCAGATTTGTATTTTAATACAAAATCATACGAGGACTTGATTATGCTTGATTCCACAGAATTTTTTAATTTTGATGGGTTAAGAAACTCAAATGTATTCATCACTTAATTTAACCCAGTAAATCTATTATGTAACTGTGCTAAAGCTGTATCAATTATTGGTAAAAAGATTTTAATTTTAAAATTATCTTCCGTTACATTCAATCGTCTGTCTCCATCCACTTCATCAAAATATAATTAAGCATAACGTTGTCGTTTACTTACTGACTGAGTGGTAATACCCCATTTATTACAAATACATTTTGCAGTATTTAATACAGAGTCATAATTTTCACGTAGATGTTCAAGTGTTCCAATTGTTTGCTGAAGTAAATAGCAAGCATTTTGTATGTTGATATCATTAGACTGCAGACATTTGGATACTGGTTGGACCGATCTTAAAATATTTTCCCAGACACACAATAATAAAATAAATTCTATATTTTCAATTTTTTTTTGCAAAGTTTTGCTTTGAACAATCTCTTCATTTTTCTTGCTGGTTAGACTAATTACTGTAAGAGTTTTTAGCACATCAACAAATCTTTCTTTAAGTGCAAATACTGCATTATGTCGAGCTTCCCAGCGTGTAGCACATACTTTTTTTTAGAACCTTCTTACGAACTGCTGTTGCATTATCTTCTCCAAGAGCTAATAATGCCCATCTTGGGGCACTTCCACCAAAAAAGTTGAATACAGATTGTACAGTTTCAAAAAAATCTCATTGCTTTGTCAGAACTCTTGGCTGCATCACAAACCACTAGGTTCAGATTATGGGCACAACAATGAACATACATAGCATTAGGTACAATATCGTTGATTCGCTTCTGTAGCCCCGAATAAATTCCACTCATCACACTTGCACCGTCATAGCCTTGTCCTTTACATTTATTAATATCCAAACCCAAGTTATGAAGAAGTTGAGAAATTAGATTTTTGTAATCCACAGCCCCGTGATGATGTATTTCAAAAAATCCAAGAAATGATTCCTTAATTTTAACTAAATGGTTTTCAAAATCAATTAAGACATAGCGAATTATAACACTGACTTGTTCAATTTTAGTTATATCTTGAGTGGAATCCATGATAATTGCAAAACAAGAACATTGCCTGATTTCATCACAAATTATTTCTAGCAAACTTGATCCCAAAATTCCAATTAATTCGTTTTGTATGGTTGGGCTCAAGTACTTGATATGATTTTCTTTATTATTTAGTAATGTTTGTAAAACAGGATCAAATTCAGCCAATAAATTAACTAATCTGAGAAAATTCTCTTCAGAGTATTCTTTACACTCATTTCCACGTAATGCTGTGTTCCCTGCAGTGAGTGTCAAAATTATTTTTATTATTCTTGTTAAAATATCTCTCCAGAACTTTGCTTCATTTGAAATTTGGGTTTCAAGTTCTTTATCAATGTTACCATTTTTTTAACCAGACTGTTCTAAGTTTTGTGGCTTCTAAATGTATTAATGAATTTTGTTCATGTGATTTTACTTTTTGGGAAAGATGTAGCCAATCGTTGATACCATCGATCCATTCAGGAGTAAAACTGCTGTTGCTACGATTAGCAAAAAGCCAACAAACTTCACAATAAACTTTGTCTAGTATAACAGAATAACATAACCATGCCCTTGGAATACGACTTCCCATTTTCGTTGACATGAAGTAGTAATTTGAAGAAAATCTTCTTATCGTACCTCTTAAATTTGTACCAGGGAATTCAATGTTTGGTCTACATGGGCCGAATAATAATATAGGCCTTTTAATACTATCTGTTACTTCATTATCAAAACTTCCTCTATCAGTTGGGTAACTTGACTCCAAATTCAATCCTGCAATAATTTTTTTTTTAATTTAACAATTAGATGAGAATTAAAACACACCCACATAAAGCAAATATATAAGACAATTATTTTTATTTTTAGCTGAACAAACAATTAAATGTAAGTTTTACTATGATCCAATTGTACATAATTAAGCTACTAAGCTGTTACTAATCCGTTTTTGTAAAACCATATGAAATCGAGAATTCATTATTATCATTTAAAATATTCATAAAACAAAATAAGATAATATAATATTTACCAACATATATAGGAAAATTTAAACACTTAAATTTAATTAATACATATTGATACAATGAAATTCAAATTAAATATAATATGTACCTGGTAGTGTGTTTTGTGTGGAAGCAGGATCATGGTCTTCATTAATTCCTTTAACAATTTAAATTATTTAATTAATACATATTGATACATTGAAATTCAAATTAAATATAATATGTACCTGGTAGTATGTTTTGTGTGGAAGCAGGAACATGATCTTTATTAATACCTACAAAAATTTAAATTATTCGAAAAATACATATTGATAAAAAGAAATTCAAATTAAATATAATATGTACCTACCTACTTAGAGATATGATTGTGATTATTAATAATTAATATAATACTATGGTACTTAATCAATAGGTAATGAGTTATGAGTTTAAACATAAAATAAATGTAATTTATTATGTATTTTTTTATTTTTTATATTGACTAACTAGCATGACTATTGAGAAGGTATCTAATATATTGTACTTGTGTAATAGATTAATACAACATTTCAAGATAAATATCCACTTTTCACAAATTAAGAATAAAAATAAAGATACCCACTTATTAGTCTTAATAACCTATCTAAGATCTAACTTATTAACTCATCCAACTGTCTCTATATTACTTAACAGTACTTACCTTTTTCAAAATCAGCCGAAAAAGTTGAACAAAAAAAATTATTTATTTTTGGCAATTTTGATATTTTTTCTTGATTTTCTCTTCGTTTTTTTTCGTTTTTCACTACCACTAAGGTGTTTTTTATTAACGGATGACATAATTAAATGATAAAAGTAAGAAATTTAAACGTAAAACGTGAAAACACTGAAAATTGACGTGCAAACAAATAACAACTACATACCTATGCGGCGATGCGAATGAACAATTATTAATGTGGTATCATTGTATCAATGAATAATGCTAATGCTATACATAAAAGTTTTATAATAAAACAACATTTTCTAGAATTCCTGATAAATCTAACCCGTGTCCAATATACCATGGCCAGTATCGAGTCGATAATAATGCACAAAATCATTTTCCCAATAATTCTATTTTTAGTTACAACGATAACAAGAAATCGTGTATTGACATTATTTATCAAATTGCAACACAGTAACACATCATCTATTCTATACTATTAAGAGGACGTGTCACCAAAACGTGTACGCGTGCAACGGCCGAGAGAATGCGCTATTAAGTCTTTTCGCGATGCGCATGCACGCGACGTTTTAGCGGCTGCTCATTACCGCAGTCAGTGCCACTCGCGATCGTTCGGGTCTCGAGTCTCGACTCTCGGGAGCGCCGTTTATTATTTAATGAACGTTCTACCACAGTGGCGCAACCAAGGGGGTGGACTCCGGGTCTGGACCTCCCCCCTTGGCACGTATAATAGAAAATTAATTTCATTTTCTCAATAAACTTGAATAAAAATTAAATTTATAAATATAAATTGATTTTTCGACTACATCAATTAAGTAATGTTGTGGCTACACTGCTACAGTTCAATAACCAATAATTTAATACTATCATGTTTACATGTTATCTGTGACCTTATTACCTTAATAATTATTATCATGACCATGGTTCTAGATATAGAATAAACTATGGTTTTTGATATCTGATTTATCAACAACTGTTATCAAATACAATACATTTCGATTAGTCGTATTGATTTATATTGCTTATACTTTATAGTTTTAAAAAGTAACGATGAATAGTTCTATAAAAGATTTTTTTACTACTAGTAGACTTAGTACTAATATTAAAAATCTCGGTGTAAAATCAGTTGTTGCTATTTCTTCACAAGTTCTTGATCAAAGTGTTCCTTCAGTCGAGTGTTCTACGAGTACCAATGATTCTAAAGAAACCGAAGACAACAATTTTTTTTGATATAACGGCATATATTGGTAAACATATGTCAAATAATGAAAAACTTGAAGCGCTTAAAACAATCTGGACCCCAGGTAAAAATCATAATTTTCCGATTACGCTGCATGGCAATAGAAATTTAAAATTTCAACTTTCTTGGCTTAATTAATGGAATTGGATAGCTTACAGTAGTTTAGTTGATGGCGTTTATTGTAAGTATTGTGTATTATTTGGCATTAAAAAAGGAGGAAAAGGAGGTCAATTGCTTGGACAGCTTTGTAATCAGCCATTCAAAAATTGGAAGCATGCTACAGAAAAATTTAAATTGCACGAAAGCACAAATTATCATACCAACTGTATTTTAGATTTTCAATCTTTGTCTGCTGTAATTACAGGGAAAACACCTTCTGTGCATGATCAACTAAATATCGCTTCAAAACAACAAAAAGAAGATAATAGAAAAATAATTTTGCCAGTTATTAAGTCTGTGATACTCTGTGGTCGTCAGGGAATATCAATTAGAGGTCATCGTGATTACGGTCCTTTGGAATTAAATGAACCAACAGAAAATGATGGTAATTTTCGCGCAATATTGAGATTTTATATAAACGCAACTGGAATATCGGGAGATAATAGCCATATATTAGCTCGAGAAAACTGTAAAAAAAATGCCCAGTATATCAGCTGGAAAATACAAAACCAGATTGTTGATGCTTGTTATACAGTAGTGTCAAAAAAAAATTGTCAACAAAATTAATGTATGTAAATATTTTTCTATTATTGCTGATGAGACGGCTGATATTTCCGGTATTGAGCAGTTTTCACTTTGTGCCAGATATTTTGATTCTACTGATAAAATAATTCATGAGGACTTTTTAAAGTTTGTACCGGTTCATGATGTGAGTGGAAGAGCTCTAGCAGACACAATAATCAATGAACTAAAAAGTCTGAACATAGATATCAAACATTTAAGAGGTCAAGGGTATGATGGCGCTGCCACTATGAGTGGCAAATTTAATGGAGTTGCTACATTAATTAAAAACAAATATCCCACTGCGCTGTATATTCATTGTAGTTCTCATAACCTTAATCTCT